TTTTTTTTTTTTTTTTTGATCGTTCGTGGTGATTGTCGTTTTAATATAACTAAAAATGCACTTTGTTTTTAGTTATTTGAAATTTTAAATAAATACTTTTATTTCTTTTTATTTGTATTTAAGTTTATTTTGTGTAACTAGCCCTCGTCTCATACAAAGTTGTGCTATACTAGTATTTATTAGTAACTTGCTCTCCATCACAAACATTTGTAATTTTCCTTACATGTATTAAGTAATTTGTTTTAATCTATTCTTTAGGTTTTGTGAATTCAATAAAACTATTTTTTTTGTCAATTTAAATTTGTAAAAAATTAGTATACAATAGTACATTGAATTAATAACTATCATCAAAACTTGAAGCTATAAAAATTTGGGTAAAAAGAAAACAAAGCTATAACCATTGTTTTACGGGTATTATCGAGTGATTCATATTGATTTCGATTTAGTGAGTCACTAAAGCTGAACAATTAGGTCATCGATCGTGGAAACGAATAATTGATTTCCTTAACATCTTTAAAGCAAGCAAAGAGAGAGTCAATTTTTTTTTTTATTTTTTTTTTACATATGAAATATCAATATAAAATAAATAATATACGCGTAAATTTTATATCATCACACATCATAAATATTAATCACTTGAATATGTATAATTTAAAAGATAAATGTATTTAAAGAAAGAAAAGATAGTGGATCGTCCGGTTGATCCGCTCAAGCAATCATAGGTCCTGCTCCACGGGTTTTGCTATGAAGCCAACTGTTGGCTCCAAAGTGGAGTCAACCTTCTATATACAACAACTATACTTACTATATTAATAAAATGATATTAATGTTATTTAAGTAATCGGAGAATATGGTAGGTTTACTTGTTGTAAAACCGTCTGCTCCACATAGGTCAACTTGTTGGATCGAAAAAAATATATATATAATTTAAATTAAAATTGGATATAATTTATTTTTGTATGATCAATAAAGATTATCTCATTTAATTTAAAAATAAAATAAAAAAGTCACAAAAATACCATTCATTTTCATCTGCTTTTTTTCTCTATAATCTCAACATTCTCACCAATGTTGCAATAAAATTAAAAATAATGATATTACATGCAAATTTTAAACTTACCCGCTTATATAATATTATTGTTAAATTAAATTAAATGTTTTTGATTGAATTTAAATGATTCATTTCAGTTAAATCAATTCATTTATATTTGGGGTCGAAAATATATAGGTACATTGTTTCGGACTGTGACTCGATCGACGTTTACTATAGGCGACAACATTATACACCCACACCAGAGGATGCAGCTGCTCTTGCCCTTAAAGCAGGTTAAACAAAAGGAAATCAAAGGCCTTGGTCTAGCATGTGTCATTTTATTAATGAAAAATAAAAAAAATAAAAAAGAAGATAAGACGCTCTGATCTATATATATATAAAAAGGTTTGATTATTTTTTTAAAAACAATTATTTCTCGCCAAACAAAATGTTGTTTACTAATTCTGAAAATTATTTAAACATTTTATGTTATATTTTAAAAGTACAATTTAAGTAATTGCGGGTGATTAATTAAGGTAATAACTCACATAATTTTTTTTTTTTTTTT